TATAGGCCCTGGTTTACCCCAGACTTGACTGCCCTTGACCAGCACAAAAACCTCCTGTGGCGTACTGCATTAGTATCGAACAGCCCACAAAATATGCAACTTTTCAGGGAAGTCAGGAACCAATATACACAATCAGTTAGGAAAGCAAAGGCTAGCTTTTTCAAACAGAAATTTGCATCCTGTAGCACTAACTCCACTGGAGTGACAAACCGCCCTTGCTGTCTCTGCCTGACCGGTTCCTGTCTCTCCATTGGGATTCTCTGCCTCTGACCCTATTACGGGGGCTGAGTCACTGGCTTACTGGTGCTTTCCATGCCGTCCCTAGGAGGGGTGCATCACTTGAGTGGGTTGAGTCACTGACGTGATCTTCCTTTCCGATTTGTTGTTCCCTCGGGCTCGTGCAGTGGTGGAGATCTTCGTGGGATATACTCAGCCTTGTCTCAGGGTAGTAGGTTGGTGGTCTGTTTAAATCCCTGGTGGTGTGGGGTCTGTGCTTTGGCAAAGTGGGTGGGATTATATCCTGCCTGGTTGCCCTGTCTGGGGGTATCGTTGGACAGGGCCACAGTGTCTCCCGACCCCCCCCCCCCCCCCCCCCCATCTCAGCCTCCAGTATCTATGCTGCAATAGTCTATGTACCGGGGGCTAGGGTCAGTCTGTTATATCTGGTGTTATTCTCCTGTCTTATCCGGTGTCCTGTGTGAATTAAGTATGCTCCCTCTAATTCTCTCCCTCCCATCCTGGAGGACCTGAGCCCTAGGACCATGCCTCAGGACTACCTGGCCTGATGACTCCTTGCTGTCCCCAGTCCACCTGGTTGTGCTGCTGCTCCAGTTTCCACTCTTCTGCCTGTGGCTATGGAACCCTGACCTGTTCACCGGACGTGCTACCTTGTCCCAGTCCTGCTGTTTTCAACTCTCTCTCTCTACCGCACCTGTTATTTCAACCTCTAAATGCCTGGCTATGAGCAGGGGCCCTCCCATAGTCCCACCCACTTGGGAGCCAGCGATCCCGCAGGTGAAGAAGCTGGATTTGGAGGTCCTGAGCTGGTGTGGTTACACGTGGTCTGCGGTTTTGAGGCCAGTTGGACATACTGCCAAATTCTCTAAAATGACGTTGGGGTTTTGAGGCCAGTTGGACATACTGCCAAATTCTCTAAAATGACGTTGGTTTATGGTAGAGAAATTAACATTCAATGCTCTGGCAACAGCTCTGGTGGATATTCCTGCAGTCAGCATTCCAATTGCACGCTCCCTTAAAACTTGAGAAATCAGTGACATTGTGTTGTGACAACTGCACATTTTAGAGTGGCCTTTTGTCCCCAGCACAAGGTGCAAATGTGTAATAATGATCATGCTGTTTAATCAGCTTCTTGATACAGTTGAAGTCGGAAGTTTACATACACCTTAGCCAAATGCATTTAAACTCAGTTTTTCACAATTCCTGACATTTTAATCCTAGTAAACATTCCCTGTCTTAGGTCAGTTAGGATCACCACTTTAAGAATGTGAAATGTCATAATAATAGTAGAGAGCATGATTTATTTCAGCTTTTATTTCTTTCATCACATTACCAGTGGGTCAGAATTGTACATACACTCAATTAGTATTTGGTAGCATTGCCTTTAAATTGTTTAACTTGGGTCAAAGGTTTTGGGTAGCCTGCCACAAGCTTCCCACAATAAGTTGGGTGAATTTTGGCCCATTCCTCCTGACAGAGCTGGTGTGTAGGCCTCCTTGCTCGCACACGCCTTTTCAGTTCTGCCCACACATTTTCTATAGGATTGAGGTCAGGGCTTTGTGATGGCCACTTCAATTCCTTGACTTTGTTGTCCTTAACCCTCCCGTTGTCCTAGGGTCAAAATGACCCGCCACTGTGTTGAACCAACTTTATTTAATTTTTATATTTTTGGGATCATTTGTGAGAAGGAGGCAGTGAGACTTTAAAGAAAGTATCACTGCCTCCTTCTCACAAATGATCCCAAAAATATAAAAATTAAATAAAGTTGGTTCAACAAAGTGGCGGGTCATTTTGACCCTAGGACAACGGGAGGGTTAAGCCATTTTGCCACAACTTTGGAAGTATGCTTGGGGTCATTGTCCATTTGGAAAATCAATTTGCGACCAAGCTTTAACTTCCTGACTGATGTCTTGAGATGTTGCTTCAATATATATCCACATAATTGTCCTTCCTCATGATGCCATCTATTTTGTGAAGTGCATCAGTCCCTCCTGCAGCAAAGCACCCACACAGCATGATGCTGCCACCCCCGTGCTTCACGGTTGGGATGGAGTTCTTCGGCTTGCAAGCTACCCCCTGTTTCTCCAAACATAACGATGGTCATTATGGCAAAAGTTATATTTTTGTTTCATCAGAACAGAGGACATTTCTCCAATAAGTACGATCTTTGTCCCCATGTGCAGTTGCAAACCGTAGTCTGGCTTTTTTATGGCGGTTTTGGAGCAGTGTCTTCTTCCTTACTGAGCGGCCTTTCAGGTTATGTCGATATAGGATTTGTTTTACTGTGGATATAGATACTTTTGTCCCTTTTTCCTCCAGCATCTTCACAAGGTCATTTGCTGTTGTTCTGGGATTAATTTGCACTTTTTGCACACCAAAGTACGTTCACCTCTAAGGACAGAACGCGTCTCCTTCCTGAGCGGTATGATGGCTGCGTGGTCCCATGGACTTTCTACTTGCGTACTATTGTTTGTACAGAAGAACGTGGTACCTTCAGGCATTTGGAAATTGCTCCCAAGGATGAACCAGACTTGTGGAGGTCTACAATTATTTTTCTGAGGTCTTAGCTGATTTCTTTTGATTTTCCCATGATGTCAAGCAAAGAGGCACTGAGTTTGAAGGTAGGCCTTGAAATACATCCACAGGTACACCTCCAATTGACTCAAATGATGTCAATTAGCCTATCAGAAGCTTCTAAAGCCATGACATAATTTTCTGGAATTTTCCAAGCTGTTTAAAGGCACAGTCAACTTAGTGTATGTAAACTTCTGACCCACTGGAATTGTGATACAGTGAATTATAAGTGAAATAATCTGTCTGTAAACAATTGTTGGAAAATTACTTAATAATAATAATAATATGCCATTTAGCAGACGCTTTTATCCAAAGTGACTTACAGTCATGGGTGCATACATTTTTTTGTGTATGGGTGGTCCCGGGGATCGAACCCACTACCTTGGCGTTACAAGCGCCGTGCTCTACCAGCTGAGCTACAGAGGACTACTTGTCATGCAGTCCTAACTGTCCTAACCGACTTGCCAAAACTGTAGTTTTGCTCTCGCTCTTTCTCTCCCGCACTTCTCCTTAATTTTGGAATAAATTAATTTGTTCAAAGCTGTTCAACTATTGTCTTTCTCTCTCTTTGAGTCAACTACTCTCCACATTGTATGCACTGCTGTGCTAGCTAGCAGTAGCTTATGTGTTCAGTACTAGATTCATTCTCTGATCCTTTGATTGGGTGGACAACATGTCAGTTCATGCTACAAGAGCTCTGATAGGTTGGAGGTCGTCCTCCGGAAGTTGTCATAATTACTGTGTAAGTCTATGGAAGGGGGTGAGAACCAAGAGCCTCCTAGGTTTTGTATTGAATTCAATGTACCCAGAGGAGGACGGAATCTAGCTGTCCTCTGGCTACATCATGGTGCTACTGTAGACTTTCATTGCAAAACAGTGTGTTTTAATCAATTATTTGGTGACGTGAATATATTTAGTATAGTAGATAGTTTAAAGGATATCTTTTTTAATGTTTCACTATTTTTATTTGTATGAAATTTACTGAGGAGGATGGTCCTCCCCTTCCTCCTATGAGGAGCATCCACTGGTGTGGAGGTGTAAGTTGATGAAACCACGACTGACACTTTCACTATTGGTGGGCTTTCTAAGAGAGATTTTGAAGGTTTGAATATTATCTGTTGAGAGTGCTTGTTGTGTGTGTGTGTGTGTAGAAGTGACATGTACAGTGGCAGGTATGTCCTTCTGAGGTTAGGTGACGTGTCTGTTAATGTGTAGATGTAATGCACTTCTGCTGTTTGGCTCCTGTTATACAAGACCTCCCAGACACACACACACACACACACACACACACACACACGCACACAGAGCACTGTTTCTGATTAGCAACAGCTGCTTCTGCTGTGGTATGTAAGCTGTTTTGGTGGCTGGATAGCCTCCATGGAGTGTGTGTGTGTGTGTGTGTAAGCGCGTGTGTATGTGCGTGCAGGTAAGGGTAATGTACTGTATGTGAGTATTAGTCTGTGTGAGTGAGTGTGCATGTCTTCACCTTATTGCTTTGTTGCTGTAGTTGCTAACCATGAAAATAGTTGTCCTGGACCTAGTACATACTGTATATTCATACAGATGCAGCGCCTGTGGTTCTGTTTTGTAATTTGACTAGACTTAGTGAATTCTATTTATTTTCTCTTTATTATGCATACTTGTGAGCACAATATTCCATACTTGTTTTCTAGCATAGTATTCCATACTTGTTTTCTAGCACAATATTCTATACTTGTTTTCTAGCACAATATTCCATACTTGTTTTCTAGCACAATATTCTATACTTGTTTTCTAGCACAATATTCCATACTTATTTTCTAGCACAATATATTCCATACGTGTTTTCTAGCACAATATTCCATACTTGTTTTCTAGCACAATATTCTATACTTGTTTTCTAGCACAATATTCTATACTTGTTTTCTAGCACAATATTCTATACTTGTTTTCTCTCATTTAAAAAATAAAGGGTATTTCAGAGTTCTAAGAGGTTTTTCCACAAATTGCTTAATTCTGTCTGACAATGCTACCCTCCATCTGCCTCCTGGGGTTTAACTGGGCCATGTTACTTTTCACATCTGACACCATGTAACAATGTCGTGTGTTGTTACTGAACAGAGACAGGGGAGAGGTGGCTGAAGTTAACCTGTGCTTTAATACAGTAACCCCCCCCAAGCACCGTAGTACATCTCTATCAGTGTACACCATTACAGGCCAGTCTTGGGAAGCCTCAGTAAACATGTCCATAGTGAGCCACTCTTGGGAAAGCCTTTCTTCGTCTCCCTACGGGGTTTCCATGTGTCCCCAGTAATGGTATACTCCAGAGTTAGCATGTGTTTGACCGTGAACACAGAGTCTCCCCTGACCATGGCGGTAAACAGCGCTCCCTTGGTGTTGATGTAACTTCCTGGTATGGCGGTCCACTGTCCTGTGGTGATGTTGTAACGGTCCATGAGGCAGCGTAGGAAGTCGTCCGAGGGCCCATTGCGCATCACATACAAATTGTCCCTGTGGGCCACCATACAGTGGCCGTAGCTCTGCGGCCTTATCATCGTGGTGGCTAACATCCACTCGTCTTTCGCCGGGATGTACTCGTAGATATCCGTGCTGTCTGGCGGCCTCCAGAAACACACAAACATCCGCCTTCGGGCAATGGCGCATGCCACAGCTGCCACAGGCCGTGGTGCGGACTGTACAAATGCCCATTCTCCTGTGGCTACATCATAAGCCTCGGCGGAGGACATGGTCCTTTTCTGGTGCTCGCCGCCGATAGCGTACAACTTCCCCTCGTGCCCCAGAAGGGTGAAGTCAGCGCGGGGCTGTTGGGGTCCAGGAAGCACGCTCCACGTGCTCATCCCTGGGTCGTAGCAGAAGCCGCCGTCCACCGTGCCTTTACCATAGCCATAAATACCCCCCACCACGTACAGCCGGTTGTCCAGGACGGCGACGCCCGCCATGGAGGTGCTGGCGTGAGTGGGGAGGTCTGTCAAGTGCCTCCACTCTCCCTCCGCCTCGTCCAGGTAACACACGGTCCTGAAGGAGTCCTTCAGCTGCTCCATAGAGGGTGAGTGGGTTCCCAAAGCGACGAAAGATGCCGGCGACAAAGACTCTGCATACCGTACCAACTCCTCAGGTAGAGTGCTTGTCGCCGCCCCCTTCAGGTCACTATAGGCATCGCAGAGGAACAGGGCAGCACTGTGGAACAGGTTGGGTAGACCAAAGATGGCCGCCGCGTGGTAGAGCAGGAGGCAGTTGTCCGAGTCAATGATATCGCAAAGATGCTGGGACAGTGATGCCACCTGGAGAAAGGCAGCACATTCCACAGCCTCTATGAGTTCATCCGGGTCCTGTAAAGAAAGTTTCTCACCCCTGGACACGGCCAAAGCAATCAGGAAACCCCGTGCATGCACTCCTCCTTTTAGATGCAGCTCATCCTCCTGGCTCTCCCTCATGCCAGACCGGAAGAGGGCACGGAAGTACTCACTGCACTGCTCCAGCAAAGCCCGGTCCACAGTTAAAACACTCCCCTCCACCCTTACCCTCAGAGAGCCTGCCTGCTGCACTCCCTCCCCCATCTTGGGGCTCTCACTTTGGGCTTCGGCAGCCCTTTCGAGTCCCTGGCTTCTGGAGGCTTCCATCTCATTCTGAGCTTGGTTCCTCTACCTCAAACTTCTTCCTGGTGACACTGCACTATGGCAAAGGTGACACAGGCTAGGACTAACAAGGTTTTCACTAGGCTTGATGATATTTAAAAGTGTGCTAGGAGTGTGCAGAGTTGTATTGCTGCGCCTTTGCCTGCTCTGAAAATAGAATGGTGCTAAAGATAGCAACAGCACCTCTCACTAGCGTCTCATAGGAAAGGGAAACTGTTGACATCTAAGGGACATTACAACAGGCTGCAGTTTAAATTCATAGCAAGCCTGCCATTGATAACGTTATGAATAATTAAGTAGGTACAAACAGAAATTACATTTTTACTGCTACTGCTTATCTACCACCAACAATACAAAATGCTATTACTATAAATTATGAAGACAATAACTATATGGTCAAATAAAGTGTTGCATTATAAACAAATTACTGTTATTACGCTAACAACTCTAATTAATTTTCATCATGTTTGAAAGTGATTGAAGAATTGTGACATGTACAGTCACAATTTTACATACAGTGGCAGGTATGTCCTTCTGAGGTTAGGTGATGTGTCTGTTAATGTGTAGATGTAATGCACTTCTGATGTTTGGCTCCTGTTATATAAGACCTCCCAGACAGACAAACACACACACACACACACACACACACAACCACTCATGCAAATACAAATGTGCACTGTATGTGCGTGTATATGTCGCCAAATGAAGAAAAATGTGCCGACTTGAATGTCAGTTTGGGGAAGCTAATTTTCACCATAAAACATACCTTTATAATAAAGCATTCCATGCATCATCACATTTCCAGCCATGTGCAAACTACTGTAAGATAGCCTACTATCCGTAATGTGATGAGTAGATTGGATAGTCATAATTTAGGCCAGTAACATACTGTAACTCAATCACTGTTCACAAAAAAGACTGTTCAATGCATGGCTGAAAGAGAATAGCCGTAAAGGCCTAGGCTATATCAGATACGTTTCTTCTTTCTTTGCAAGCCTTTTATAAACACATTTCATGCAATTGTACTACGCTTTATATGACTGGAGATATTAGCGTAATCTTTTTTTTGTGTATTTTACCCCCTTTTTCGTGGTATCCAATTGGTAGTTACAGTCTTGTCCCATTGCTGCAACTCCCGTACAGACACGGGAGAGGCGAAGGTCGAGAGTCGTGAGTCCTCCGAAACACAACACAACCCAACTGAGCCGCACTGCTTCTTGACACAGTACCCGCTTAACCCAGAAGCCAGCCGCACCAATGTGCCGGAGGAAACACCGTACACCTGGTGACCGAGTCAGCGTGCACTGCGCCCGGCCCGCCACAGGAGTCGCTAGTGCGCGATGGGACAAGAACATCCCTGCCGGCCAAACCCTCCCCTACCCTGGACGGACCCATGGGTCTCCCAGTTGCAGCCGGCTGCGACAGAGCCTGGACTCGAACCAGGATCTCTAGTGGCATAGCTAACACTGCAATGCAGTGCCTTAGACCACTGCGCCACTCGGGAGGCCCAGCGGAATCTTTTTTAATATGAGAAATTACAGGTTAGCCTACTCTGCTGACATTGACAAACAGATAAATAAAAATGACGTTGTCCATGTACAGTTGAAGTCGGAAGTTTACATACACTTACAGTGGGGAAAAAAAGTATTTAGTCAGCCACCAATTGTGCAAGTTCTCCCACTTAAAAAGATGAGAGGCCTGTAATTTTCATCATAGGTACACGTCATCTATGACAGACAAAATGAGGGGAAAAAAATCCTGAAAATCACATTGTAGGATTTTTAATGAATTTATTTGCAAATTATGGTGGAAAATAAGTATTTGGTCAATAACAAAAGTTTCTCAATACTTTGTTATATACCCTTTGTTGGCAATGACACAGGTCAAACGTTTTCTGTAAGTCTTCACAAGGTTTTCACACACTGTTGCTGGTATTCTGGCCCATTCCTCCATGCAGATCTCCTCTAGAGCAGTGATGTTTTGGGGCTGTCGCTGGGCAACACGGACTTTCAACTCCCTCCAAAGATGTTCTATGGGGTTGAGATCTGGAGACTGGCTAGGCCACTCCAGGACCTTGAAATGCTTCTTACGAAGCCACTCCTTCGTTGCCCGGGCGGTGTGTTTGGGATCATTGTCATGCTGAAAGACCCAGCCACGTTTAATCTTCAATGCCCTTGCTGATGGAAGGAGGTTTTCACTCAAAATCTCACGATACATGGCCCCATTCATTCTTTCCTTTACACTGATCAGTCGTCCTGGTCCCTTTGCAGAAAAACAGCCACAAAGCATGATGTTTCCACCCCCATGCTTCACAGTAGGTATGGTGTTCTTTGGATGCAACTCAGCATTCTTTGTCCTCCAAACACGACGAGTTGAGTTTTTACCAAAAAGTTCTCTTTTGGTTTCATCTGACCATATGACATTCTCCCAATCCTCTTCTGGATCATCCAAATGCACTCTAGCAAACTTCAGACGGGCCTGGACATGTACTGGCTTAAGCAGGGGGACACGTCTGGCACTGCAGGATTTGAGTCCCTGGCGGCGTAGTGTGTTACTGATGGTAGGCTTTGTGCCAGTTGAGGACCTGTGAGGCGTCTGTTACTCAAACTAGACACTCTAATGTATTTGTCCTCTTGCTCAGTTGTGCACCGGTAAATAGCGCTCTGGATAAGAGCGTCTGCTAAATGACTAAAAATGAAAGTAGAAGCCGTTAAGGAGCCTTTTGAACCTAGACTTGGCGCTCCGGTACAGCTTGCCGTGCGGTAGCAGAGAGAACAGTCTATGACTTGGGTGACTGCAGTCTTTGACAATTTTTTGGGCCTTCCTCTGACACCGCCTAGTATATAGGTCCTGCATGGCAGGAAGCTTGGCCCCAGTGATGTATTGGGCCATACATACTACCCCCTGTAGCGTCTTACGGTCGGATGCAGAGCAGTTGCCATACCAGGCGGGGATGCAACCGGTCAGGATGCTCTCGATTGTGCAGCTGTAGAACCTTTTGAGGATCTGGGGACACATGCCAAGTCTTTTCCGCCTCCTGAGGAGGAAAAGGTGTTGTCGTGCCCTCTTCACGACTGTTTTGGTGTGTTGGACCATTATAGTTTGTTGGTGATGTGGACACCAAGGAACTTGAAACTCTCGACACGCTCCACTACAGCCCCGTCGATGTTTTCCTGTAGTCCACGATCATCTCCTTTGTATTGCTCACATTGAGGGAGAGGTTGTTGTCCTGGCACCACACTGCCAGGTCTCTGACCTCCTCCCTATAGGCTGTCTCATCGTTGTCAGTGATCAGGCCTACCACTGTTGTGTCTTCAGCAAACGTAATGATGGTGTTGGAGTCGTGCTTGGCCACAAAGTCGTGGGTGAACAGGGAGTACAGGAGGGGACTAAGCACGCACCCCTGAGGGGCCCCGGTGTTGAGGCTCAGCGTGTGAGATGTGTTGTTGCCTACCCTTACCACCTGGGGGCCGCCCGTCAGGAAGTCCAGGATCCAGTTGCAGAGGGAAGTTTTTAGTCCCAGGGTCCTTAGCTTAGTGATGAGGTTTGTGGGCTCTATGGTGTTGAACGGTGAGCTGTAGTCAATGAACAGCATTCTCACATAGGTGTTCCTTTTGTCCAGGTGGGAAAGGGCAGTGTGGAGTGCGATTGGAATTGTGTCATCTGTGAATCTGTTTGGGCGGTATTTGAATTGGTGTGGGTCTACGGTTTCTGGGATGATGGTGTTGATGTGGCCCTTGACCAGCCTTTCAAAGGCTAGCGACGTTAGTGATACATATACACAGATGGTCAGATAGACAGACAGACGTTTACACACACACACACACACAGAGAGAGACTACATTGACCTGTGAAGGATATATAATCATATTTTTATAATGACCATTTAATCACCAGGTATATTTGTTAAATCTTTAGGAGAAGGTCAGCAGCCAAATCCTCTGTTCTACCATGCTGCTTAATGATGCAGAGAGGGTTTCTCTGATTTTAAACAGGATACAGCCACTCCTCTCTCTCTTTATCTTTAGCCCAGGAGGACATGCAGAGTTCCCCTCAGGGCTAGGGGAGATTTTATATTTGCTCTGAAATGTTTTTTTGTTGTTGTTGTGTGTATTGGCTTTGGCTCTGTGGTCTGTTTGTAGCGATGTGCTATGGTTCCTTTGGTGTGATCTAGTTCAGGCTCAGGCTGGCTCTGTGGTGTTGCTGCTGGTGAGGTCCTTTGGCTTGGTCCAGTCTGTTGGTTAGGTCTAGTTGAGGTTTGGTCCAGTCTGTTGGTCAGGTCTAGTTGAGTTCTGGTCCAGTCTGTTGGTCTAGTTGATGTCTGGTCCAGTCTGTTGGTCTAGTCTAGTTGAGGTCTG